CGATCCGCCCAAGTTACTTGTCAGGCGTGGACTTTCAAAACAAATGTTTTCCTGGATTGAAACTGGATAAGCCACTCTCATTACAACAGTACTACGACGTGTTTATGGTCGCACTACAAAAGGGAGAAATAGTCAATATCTCAGCAACGTCACCCTTCCAATTGGGACCAATGACTCCGTCTTCGTTCAGAGAAGTCTATGCAGTCAAAATAAAGTCATCGCCATCACCACTATGTAGTTCGGGAAGTTTTTCACGACGTAGCGGGACAATCAAAACCCCCAAAAACTCTTCGCCGATGACACAAAAGTTCATGATGAACTACGGAAACTCTCCACTACTGAGGGCGTGCTCAAGTGATTTGGATTTGACACAGAGTATGGTCACTAAATTGACTACACCAGTCGATTTCATTGGAAGAAAAGAGGACAAAGACACCAATTCATGTGTTGCAGAATCGGTGTGTATTGAGTTACTCCATTCGAGTCGTTCAATACAAGAGAGTCAAGTTGTCACTGACGTCCCAAGCCAAGCTAACATCCCGATCATTCCGGTCCCAATTCGAAAGATAGATACAGACAATGAAAACAAGGAATTCGCTCCCATTTTCATATTCGACGAGTGAGTTAAGCGCAGAAGAAGACTCGCATGAAGATAGTTGTTTAGTTTAATTTTATTAGTTGTTATACCATTTTTTGCAATGGCTTGAAATAGTTTTGAATCAACCATTAATTATAGTAACGCTTGCAAGACCAAAACACTTCACTTTGTCTCATCCCCGACACGGATCTCTGGACTCTTTTCATTATATTGAATGTCCGTTTCACTCTTTTCTGTGTCGCTCGATAACAGTTTTGAGTCGTTTTCGTGAAATGGTGGATTGTTCTGGTAATCCCACGACGCGCATTTATCGTTGTAATTTGCAATAGCGATTAACACCGAAACTGCGCCAAGAGCAAATTCCAAAGAGACTGGCGCATCAAATATGAAGTATGACATGACGGTCGTGCAAATGATGGCAACGGACACAGCAAACCCTTTCACGATAACGTCTGCGTAAGTCATCACTAAAGCGACCAATATGCCACCAATTGAAGTGATGAAGATCATGATGATAGTGATGTAAGAGAAGTCGTGGAAAAGGCCTAAAGTGAATGTCGACTTCGCGTCGAATAAGAACAAGTTGACGATACAAAAGAGGATACTATATAACGACAACTGGAAGTTCCGTTCCCAGACATTGAGTTTTGGACCATTCTCGACTTTGTTCTTTAATATCTTCTCCATGAAGACACCACTAAAGCCACTCGCAGTAGCAGCTAACAAAGCAGCACCAACACCGATGAAATAACTCCCAGTGCTGCCCGACTCGGAAGAACTCGAAGCTCGACTTGCACCTTCGACGGTAATAACTGCAATGACTAAAGCAACTAATGCTCTCCATTGTGTTGCTGTTAACTTTTTATTTAATATGAGAACAGATAATATCGCAGCAGACAATATTTTTGCTTGAGTTAATACGGAATATAACCCTGGTTGGATATTCGCCAAAGAGACTTGACACAATATATTCTGAAAGAAATAAATGAGGGCAGGAACAGAGGAAATAAGTGAACAGACGACTAAATACTTTAAGTGAACGAAAATGTGCTTGTCGCGGTTTGTAATATATATACCAACAATGGATATTATTAACTTGACAAGTTCACTCATGAGAATCGATGTACCGATCGAGTACTGCTCTTTAAGAACACCACGGGAGTACCGTGTCACTAGAGAAAGTGAAGTGTTTTGAAGTGTTAAAGCTGCAAGAAAGATAACACTAAGTATTGCTTTGTTCATCTGTTTTCTTATAAGATTCTTCCTTTGAATTTAAATGGAAATATAATTCACTATTTATTATATAAATAACTATCAGAGATGATTTGCTGTGGTATTCACATTAAAATATAAAAGCCCATAATTGTAATTATTTATATTTTATAATATAAAGTACTTTGTCTAATGTAATTAATGGATGTGATGATTATTCTTTCCCCGAATGAACGAAAGTTGATTCAGAAGTTGTCGAGACCCACAGCCAGTGCGGAATCGCATGTCTGATCCTTTTTGATCAATTTTGCTTCTTTGTTGCAATTTCATTAAAGGAATAGTTATTACAAATTCCAACTATTATTTATTATTTAAAATAATTTATTTTAATTTATAAAACATTAATAATTTAAACACCTATTTAGAATTATAACAATGTTCTTTATAAAAATGCTTAAAAATGTGTTTGTCAATAAATAAAATATAGTATTGTGAATTACAAATATTAGTTACAAGATATAATACATTAATTAGTTTAATGGTGGTATGTTAAAGATTTAAAACTGAATTTTTGTTATTCATTGAATAATTTAAATATAATATATATTATTATAAAATAATTATAAATCATTTCAAAATACAACAAGAGCAAAACAATTTATCTTTAAAATGATTAAAAAAAATATTAAAATGTTCTATTAAAATATAAAAACATTTTAATCTTCATAATACCATGAAATATTTACACCTCTTGTTTTGCACCAAATCATAAAACCATTAATTAATAATAAATAATAATTTATAAATTACTAATTTTACAGTCCATCAAAATATCGTAGAAATTACAACAATAAAAACCGATAGAACACTTTTTCAAAAAAATGAAATTTATTATTGAACTTATTATATAATTGTCTCGACAATGTTTAAAGACACAAATCAGATACTGAGCGAGGCAATGTATGAAGAAGTGACACCTTCAGCAAATCGAATATTTCAAATTCTCAAAAATTACAAGAAAATAGGACTTCACTTAATTGTTCATCATATCACACAAGTGATTTTATTATTAGTGTGTATGATCGTCATCTGCTCACTATTTGGTATAACAGACCATGTCACTGGTGTTGGCCTCTTAATTTCTGAAATGGTTATTTCAATAATTTCGTTACTATTATATATGGTTTACTTAGTCTTTATTGTCCTTGCTGTCCGGAGCCATCCCGTCCTCACTGCTGATAAAAAGGGTAAAATACTTTTTGCCAAGGTTGCTAACACTCTTCATATCATTTATGTGATTTTACTGTCGTTCAATACGTTCCAATCAATCTTCTTGGCACTTTCATATAACCCGGGATCACCATTGCACGGCCATTCTATTGGTGGGACGATTACCATTTTTTTCGTGTTCTTGTTATTCTTGATGATGTCTTGCGGTGAAATACAAAAGCCTCTCAT